CGGCGCGGCAATGCGGCGCGCAGCGACGGCGGCGATGCGGGGCGCGGCGGCGGCGGCGATGCGGCGCGGCGGCGGGTCGGCGGCGGCCGCGCACCGGCTGGCTCGCGGGCGCGAGGCCGCGGAAGAGGTTCTGCGCAATCATCTGGATGATCTCGGGAAACGTCTGCTCGTTGAAGACATTCTTCGTGTTGTTGATATAGTCCATAATCTCGAGCAGGCTCTGCCGCTTGATCTCCTTCTCGCGCACGTCGCTCTGGTCCGCAAAGTCCATCGGCCACGCGCACAGCTGCAGTTTCTTGATGAAGAGCTGCTGCCGCTCCGGCGCGCTGACGTCTTTGAAGGCCGGCAGCGGCTCGATGACCGGCGGCTTTTCCGGCGCCGTCCGCACGCCGGCCCCTGCGCCCGGCTTGGGAGACGAGCCTGCGCGCGGCCGCGGGCAGGGGTGGGCAGCCGCCGTGTGCAACCTCGGCGCGGATGGCCGCATCGGTGAGCGAGGGGTGGATGTGGACTCGTTCCATGCGTTTCATGCTTGCGGCGCTGCGCACCCTGCTTGCCGCTGCGGTCGCTGCTGCCTGCGGTTGCCGATGCGGCCGCGCCTCCGCCCGGAGTCGACGGCTTGCGGGTAGGCGTGCTGGCGGTCGCAGGGGCCGCCGCGGAGGTCGCGGTGCGGCTGTCCGTTCCCTGCGGCGGGCGAGCATCCAATCGGTCAGAGCCTAGATATGTTCAAGGCAGGGCGCAGGCGCGAGCTCCCAAACGCCCCGCGCTCGAGAGGAGATACGCAGATGCAGGGCGCGCGGGCGACACGGCAGAACGCAGCCCGTGCGCTTGAGTACACTCGGCTGACGCTGCGGCAGACGCAGGGGAGTGCGGTGGGTGCTGTGCAGGCGGAGGCGCGCCAGCTTCTTCTTCATCAGATGCATCTGTACCCCGCCGCGCGACTGCGCCTGTGTGCCGGCCTACAGTCGATACGAGGGTGAGCTCCGCCGAGACGCGGGGCACACCGGCTGTTCGGCAGCGCGCCTCTTCGCAAGGCTCGCCTCGCCGTCGCGCAGATTTCTTTCATTCTTTTCTGGGCAAAGTAAGGCTGCAAAAGGGCAGCACGATGGTAGTGCCCTGCTGCAGCCTGGCCTGACATGCACAGGGCGAACAGAGACACTACTATCGTCTGGCGCTCGTCACCGAACCTGGGCGAACTTCGACCGCCGCCACAGCTCACCACGAGCAACTAAAAATCTCTCTCTCTCCCACGAGCACGCAGCGACAAAATGTTGACTGTATGGAAGTTGAGGCTTGTCGAGAGGAAGAGGCTGCCGTGCGAGCCGGCAGCTGGCTGGCTCGGGTGGACTGCCCGCAGCGTCTTTTTTCGGCTTCTTCATTCATAGTAGCGTAAATGCTACTTCGTTATACCCTTTATGCGAGTAGAGCATAAAGAAATCGAGGGCGTGATTGCCCGGCGAGGAAAAACTCCCGCCTGCTGTGCAAAGTGAGAAAGAAGTGCTTGGCCCTGGATGTGCGGTTAATGACTGCACTCCAAGTGCTCCAAGTTTTCTTATCGGCGAGGCAAGAAAACTGCGCGCGTTTGAGTCGGTAGCGAGTAGGCGCGCCTTGCTTCGACAAAAAAAAATTGCTAACGCGAAAAACCGGCACACCAATCTCCCTTCCTCTCCCTATCCTTTCTTGGAGCTCTAGAGTCCACACCCCCCTGCCCCGGGATCGCGTACAAGCTGAGGCTACCGTAGGCCACACTAGCGTCGCTGGGGGTTCCCTGCCCTAGATGGGAAGCTGGCCGCTGATCCGAAGACCGACTGCACCAGGGCGCCTAGATATACTCAAGGTGAGCGAGGGTGAAGTTACGCCTTAAATGCCTGTCTCTCTACTGTGGACCTTACTCCGAGCTCGACGGCTCCTCCTATTCCCCCACCCCCCCTCCCCCCCCACTCTCTCCGAGTAAGGGCGTGCGCTACGTCCCCAAGGGGGGGGGGACGTGGGGGGGAGGTGTGACTTTTGGGTTGTGGCGTTTGGGTTTTTGTGGGGCACCCAAACGGTTTCGGTTTTCCTCCTTGGTGCCCCGAGTAGAGCGCGATCTCCCCTCCGGTCGAAGCCGAAGGCTCCCGCCAAAGCCGTCGATTGCAACCACGTAGCGGCCTCCTTCGAAATGGGATACGTGAATCGTGATCTACGACAAATAGGGACAATCGTCGACCCAGCGTCGACCATGACGTTGTCACGTTGACGACAAGGACAACACCGACGCAACTCCCGGGCGCGGCGGAGCGCGCGGTTCGCCCGCGGAGGTGTTCACCCGTGTTCACACGTCGCGTGGGCGGACAACCTACCTTTTTCCCAAGCGTCCCTTGTGCCTTGAGAGTTTGAGTTAATAGGCAGTAATGTGTAACTGTACCTAAGAAAAAGGAGTGTCACTGGAGTGGTGTGCTAGCAGGTCAAACTCTCGATCACTCGGCACTCTTCCGTTTCCCGAGGATCTCAGACTCGAGCCCCGCGACGAGAGGCCGCATGCGGTCGGCCCTGCGGCCCGCTTTGAGCGAGACGTTGCGGAAGCCCATCTGCGCCGGGTCCCCGTGCAGGTAGGCATGCACGTAGCGGTCCATCCTGCCGCGCTCCTTGGCGCAGTGGTGCATGAATGGGCGCTGGCGAGAGGGGTGCTGCTGGTCTTGCGCATAGGGCCCGTCATCGTCCGCCTCGCCGCTGTACGCGCGCCGCACGGCCTCGTCCGCCCACGCGCGTGCGTACTGCTCGCGCACGTCCCGGTCGCAGAGCGTACTGAGGAAGCGCCAATCCTCCGGACCCATCGCGCGCATCTCCACGCCCCGGCTCATCAGCAGCTCGAGCCCCTCGCGTGCAGACTCGGAGCGCTGCGACTGCACCTACTCTCGTGGAGCCTCGGGCTATCTCGGTGGAAACCCGCGCACCGACTCGAAGCGCTGCGAGTCGAAGCCTTGCGGTCGAGCTCCTCCTTGTGCGTGTTGTCGATCCACGCCGCCTTGTAGATGTCGGCGAGGATGCAGGTGAGGCGCACGTTGAGCGGCTTGAGCGTGCCGTCGTACCAGCGGCACAGCTTCTCGGTGCAGCTGGTCGGGTGGCCTAGCCGCGGCCAACCTCGGGTGATCTCGGGTGATCTCGTGTGCCCTCGATGCAGCGAATGCGGGCCGCCCTCGTACGAGCGCTGCGCGTACTCCTCCCGCGCGAGCATGCCGCGCGGCACCTGATCTCGGGGGTGGTCTTGGGGTGATCTCGGGGTGATCTCGGGGTGATCTCGGGGTGATCTCGGGTGATCTCCCGCGCGGGCGTGCGGCACCATGCCGCCCGAGTAGTGGCACGGCTGGTACGTCATGTACAGCTGGAGCTCGACCTGATCTCGACCAGCCTCGCCTCATCTCGGGCAATCTCGGCGGGCACATTATGGACAGCTGAAGCTCGACCTCGACGTCGCCGGCGCCGCTGCCGCGCTCGCCCTCGCCGCCGCCGCCCCTGGCCTCGCCCCCGCCCTCGCCTCCGGCCTCGCCGCCGGCCTCGCCGCCGCCCTCGCCGCCGGCCTCGCCGCCGCCCTCGCCGCCGCCCTCGCCGCCGCCCTCGCCCCCGCCGGCCTCGCCCCCGCCGCCCTCCTCGTCTCTGATCTCCCCGCTCTCGCTCTCGCTCTCGCTCTCGCCCTTTCCGCCGCTAGCCCCCCCGCCGCCCCTCTCGCCCCCCCCTCCCTCACCGCCGCCGCCCTCGCCGCCCTCGCCCTCGCCGCCCTCGCCGCCGCCGCCTTCGCCGCCGCCGCCCTCGTCGCAAACCTCGCACACGGCCTCCCCGCCCCCGCCCCCGCCCCGGAGCCTCTCGATGGCGCGCATCAGCTTGTCGTCGGCGAGCATGAACGCCTAACCTCGCGCAGCCTCGGGGTCCTCTCGCACAATCTCGACCAGGCGTGCCAACGGGCGAGCGGCGACGGCCTCTGCATGCACGTTCACCTCAGAGCCGCCCCGGAAGCAGTTCGAGTAGCGGGCGACATACACCTCCCTGCCGCCCGCGCACAGCCGCGCCACGACGACCACCTGGCGACTTGGCGCACCGGTGACACCCTGTGCGTTGCGCCATACACACCTGCGACCCGCACCTGCGACTTTCCGCACCGGTGGGTCGCCGGGTCGCCGCCCAGCGCCGGGTCATGCTGCCTAAAGGCAGGGGCTAGCACGGCATTCAAACTGTGGTGTGTGTGTGTGTGTGTGTGTGTGTGTGTGTGTGTGTGTGTGTGTGTGTGTGTGTGTGTGTGTGACTGTGTGTGTGTGTGTGTGTGTGTGTGTGTGTGTGTGTGTGTGTGTGTGTGTGTGTGACTGTGTGTGTGTGTGTGTGAGGGGGGGGGGGGTGCGTGTGTGCGGGGGCCATGCTGCCTCAGGCAGAGCCGGACGCCCGCCTCCTTGGAGTTGGCGTGGTAAAAGGCGGCGCAAAAAGAGTGCAGCGAGCCGAGCAGCGAGGCGTTGTGCGCGGCGCGGCGCGGCGCGTGTGAGCGGACGGCGTGGTCGCCGTCCGCCTCGGGAAAGAAGAGGCAGCGGCTGAAGGGCTTGTTGCAGAGGCAGCCGATGTGCTCCTGCGTCAGGACGCCGAGGTCACTTCGTTTGAACTCAACTCGTTTAAGCTAGACGAGGAGCGTCGTCAGCCCACGTCAGGAAGACGCCGAGGTCGGGTGGGGAGGACGGTCTCGCGCCGTGTCTTCGGAGCACCGCGTGAATACACGGGGCTACGGTAATACCGCGCGGGCGGCGGACGACGGCGGAGTGCGTGTCCTCTCGAGCGCTGGTTGGAAGACACGCGCACGTATTCCGCTTCTAAGGGCCTTCCGACGTGAGCGCCGCGCCGCCGCCCCCGCCGGATGAGGTGCCTGGCCGTGATCGCAGCTCGGCCTCGCCGTGCGCGAAGAAGCACTTCTCGCCGAGCGAGCAGGAGCCGTCGCGCTGGTAGAAGGCGCACATCCGTGTCTTGCGCAGGAAGTCTGTCTTGAACCGGTCGCGCTCAGTCAGCCCGCCCTGGCGCAGCTCCGCCTCTCCGTGCGCAAAGCCGCACTCGAGCCCGGCGATGCAGGAGCCGAAGCGCTCCCAGTGGCGGCACAGCTGCGTCTTGAACAGCTTCGAGTCGGGCCGCGCGGCGATGCCGGAGAAGCTGCCGCGCGGCGGCGGCTCCCGCGCGAGAGCCCGCAGCTCCCGCTCTCCGTGCGCAAACCGACAATTCGCACCGTCGGCGCATGTCCCATCGCGCTCCCAGTTGCGGCAGACCCTCGTCTTGAAGAGATTATCGGCGGGCCGTCGCTGCTCGGGCTGCTGCGGCGACCACCCCCTGTCGCCTTCGTACAGGTGAGCACCGCCGCCGCGGCCCCTGTCGCCGCCGCCGCCGCCAGGCCCGCCACGCTCACGATCGCGGCCGCTGCTGTACCACCTGTCGTGAGGCGGCGGCGGCGGTATCCTGCGAGCATACTCGTCCATTGTGCCCGGGCTTGCTTCACACGCACACGCGCAGAGGGAGGCGAGCCGGGCGCGAGGAAAAGAAGAAAAAACAGCCTAATATCGCCGCGACCGCGCACCCCCCTAGGGGGCAGGGCTCTCTTGCAGCCCGATGCCAATCGGATTAAAAATCGATAAAAAGAAACAGGACTGCGGCTGGGCCGCCGCGCTCGAAACCGCTCACTGGCCAGTGGCGCCAAACCGCGTCGTGAGGTGCATGTCGCTCTGCTCCCTCGCGTGGGCCGCCGCGCTCGGCTACTCGGCCGCGCACTGGTGGCCGGGCCTGCCGCTGCGGCCGACCCTCGTCGCCCTCGCCGTGCTCTCCGCCTCTCGACTCGCCGCGGACGTCGCGGCGATGTGGCGCTCTCCGCTCGACGCGGTCGAGCGCCCGCTCAACGCTACGCGGCGCACGCGGTGGCGAAACCTGGGCCTCTGGCCGCCGGACGGCTCGGGAGGCTACGCCGCCGCGTGCTCCGCGATGGCCGAGCGGGTGGGCGATATGGCCGGGGTCGGCGCGAGCACGCGCGCCGTGCTCGACGTCGGCTGCGGCGCCGGGGAGTCGCTTCGGATCTGGTCGGCCCGTGGCGCCGCGCTCGTCGTCGGCGTGGACGCGGCGCCGCCCGTCGACTGCAGCTCCGCGGTCGAGTGCTGCGATGCGGCGGGCGTGGGCGCGCTGGCGGCCGCGCGCGGCGAGCGGTTCGACGCTGTCGTTTGCGTCGACGCGGCGTACCACTTTGCGCCCAGCCGCGCCGCCTTCTTCGCGGCGGCCTCCTCGGCGCTGTCCGAGGGCTCCCCCGCCGGATGCCCCGCTGGACTTCTTCTCCCATCGCCGCTCAACCCGTCGATTCCTCACCCAGTAGGCGGCAGGATCGGCCTCGCCGACGTGCTCGGCTCCTCCGTCGACGCCGGAGGGGACGTGCGTCGCGCCTCTCGCGGCTTGGCGCGGCGGGCCATCGCGGCGCTGATGCGGGTGCCGGCCGCCAACTTATGCGACGCCGCCCAGTACGAGGCGATGCTGGCGAGCGCGGGCTTCGTCGACGTCACCGTCGAGCCGGCGACTGAGCGCGTGGTGGGCGGATTCGCGCGCTTCGCCGCGCGGCACGCGCGCAGCAGCTTCGACTCGCCCCCCGATCGGCCCGGCTGGTCGTGGTCGTCCGTCGCGCGGGCAGGCGCGGCCCTCTCGGCCGCCTTCCGCCACGGCCAGCTCGAGTACGTGTTTGTGAGCGCGCGGAAGCGACACTCTCCTCGCGACGCTGCGCACACGTGAGGAGTGGTGGGTATGTTGTGAGCCGCCCGATTTCTTTTTGACGACAGCATTGATTCTTTTTGCCGCAGTGCGCGCCAGTCCCCCCCCGTGCTTTAGTGAGCAGTGTCAGTGACCAGTGTGTCGCGACGGCGCGCGAATATATTAAATAAATAAACAAAAAACAAAAACGGACACCTCTACTGTGAGATGCGCGAGAGAGTTGTAAAATTCTTTTGCCGAGTCCTGTGCTCTGCCGACCCCGACCGTCGGCGCTGCACGTGAGGCATAGCTACCCCACAAGGCCACAACGCGCCCTGCGTGCTCTGCGAGGTGCAGCTTCCCCGCGCGCCGCCTGGGCGCCTCATCAACGCTCATCTATCGCGCACCCTGTATTGTTATTTCTTTTGTGCCCCTTCCCACCCCCCGCCCCCCGCTGGCTTAGTTTCTAGAATCGGAGCCGCCCGCGGGCCCGCGCGGGCGGCGGAGGAGGATCCGGCTCGGCGGGCGGGCTCGGGCGCGGGCGCGGGCGCATTAGTTGGCGGCGCTTCTGTGGCGCTGACGCCGGGGAGATGCCGGCGTAGGACGGGTGCCCCCTCGCGGGCGGGTCAGTAAAGCGCCTGCGGCCGTCCGCGGCACCGGCGTGTTGGCGCGAGGCGTGCTGCTCATCGAGTGGGAAGAGGGCAACGCCGTAGGAGGCGCGGCCGACCGTAAGCGTGGCGCCCGGAGTCAGCATGGGCGTCGAGGGCTGGCTTCCGAGCCGCGAGAGCTCTTCCGACAGCTGATGGATGTCGCGGCTCTGCTGGCTGATGAGCGAGCGTTGCGACTGCACCATGCTGCGCAGCTCATCAGCAGTGCCGAAGGTGTTTGGCTCGGTGGAGACGGAGATGTGCAGCAGGAGGCAGCACGAGTCGATCCGCGTGCCGCTTGGCGAGCGCAGGTGCAGGCAGCGGTAGCCGCAGCGGAGGGAGCCGAGCACCGCCGTTTCATACGCCACCAGCCGCCCCTCGTCCTCCACCACAACGCGGAGGATGGTCTGGTGAGGCTCGGCCGCGAGGCAGTGGAAGGTCTCGTCGAAGGTCGGGTTGAGGCCGTTGCCCTCCGCGACCGCGGTTGTGAGCCGGGTCACGCCCTGCGCCTCGGGCTGCGGCTGCGGCTCGCGCGAAACCGCGCAGAAGCCTCCAATGGCGTACAGCTCGACGGCGACGCGCGGGCTCGACACGGAGGCCCGGGCCCCGCCGGGCGGGCGGGGGCTGTCGCTGAGGTGCGAGACGAAGGCGTGGTGGGGCTCGGTGAGGAGGGGCCGGCACTCGTCCCGCGTCGGGAGCCGGTGCAGGGAGAGCACCTAAAGGCGGTGGGTCGCTCGGTGAGCTGACTAGAGGGAGGGCCGAACGGGGCGGCAGCAAGGCGCGCCTTCAGGCTCGTCCGATGCACCTCCTCCCGCGGCGGTGGCCACAGCGGCTTGCCCCTCGAGGCTGCTGTGGCGGGGGCGCCGAGCCGTGACGACTCCTTGAGCAGGGGCCGCACCTCCGAGGCTGCACGGGTCAAGCCTCCACCGCCGCTCTCCTCGCGCGACATGCGACCGCGGCCGGAGCTATCTTCCCTCCTTGAAGCAGAGGAGCCGCGAGGCACGAGAGGCGTAGAAGAGAGGCTGGCGTGCCCCGCACCTCCCGGTTGGCAGTAGGAGGGCCCCCCGGTGAGACCACTGATTTTGATGCCGACTATAAATTCTCGCCACTGGAACGCATGCTACTTACAGCTGCTGTCTGTACAGAGATGCCAGCACCCCCCACAGGCAGAGCGCTCCTGCTGGGGGGGGGGTCCGGACCCCCCCAGCAGCAGAGCGCTGCTGCTTGGGGGGGGTCCCGACCCCCCCAGCAGCAGAGCGCTGCTGCTGGGGGGGGGGGTCGGCCATGAGCTTAGTTGTGCAGGGGGGGTAGCGAGCAGAGTGCGGCCGCTCTAGGCATAGCACACACATGCACATGCAGATGCAGAGAGAGAGATTTTTAGCAATACCAAACACATGTGCATGCACATGCACATGCACATGTCGATGGCTGAAATGGCTGTGGCCCAGCCATCTTACCCAAAATGGCTGCGATATAGCCAGCTCAGAGAGAGAGATTTTTGAAAACCAACAAGAAACTCTTCTTGCAGCTCAGGGGGCGGTATGGCTGCAGTAGTGCGGCTCCAGCCATGTCTATACTCAGGATGGCTGCCCTGTGTGTGTTGCAGCCATCGGCCTGGAGGCTATGGCTGCACTGTAGCTCAGCCATCTTTAGTAAAAGAAAGAAAGAAAGAAAACAGACAAACCCAGACGAGGGATGGGGGAGGAGGACAGGGTCCCCACCTGCAGGAGAAGGATTTTGGAAGGACGATCAGGGGGACAGGTTGGGCTCTCCTGCTCCTGACAAGGGACACGACAGGCTCGCAGCGCGGTGCACGGGGGAAAGGCATCTTTAGTAGGGATCAGAGAATCGAGGCCACTGGCCTCTGCTCCCGCCTGGGATCGCCCATTGCGACCCAGAGCTAAGAGAGACATCGCGAAAACCGCGCCAATAAGTTGCTGCCGATAAGTTCGCCCAACGGCGGCGCGGCGTGCAATAATTGCAAATAGGAAACCGCGCCAGACCGGCGGCGCCGAAGTGGAACGGCGCCTCGCACGGCGGACACCAGCAATATTAATAATTGACTTGAGTCGCCATGGTAGGACGCCGCCCTGAATGATGACGGCAAAGCAACCCGAATAATAATAGCCATTGCTCCCTCAGTGTAAACGACTGTGAATACCGAACTCCCCCATTCACACCTAGTCACCGTGGCCCAACTGGGGTCAAGCCTGCAGTAACTTGCGGTTGTGAACAGGGTCGTTTGGTTATATCCGCATGTTACAATCGCGAGGACGCAATACATGGCACACATTGCGGAATTCGCACTCCCAAAGCTGAGGCAAAACCCAAACTGGAATGCGAAGCCGACGAAGAGCGCGAGCACGAAGGCGGAAGAGATGTGCCTCGGTGACTCGGAAAAAGAAATACAAGCTGGGCGGTCAAGAATCCTGGCGCAGAGCAAGCTGGATGGCAGCTGCCGACGACTCGACGACGCTGCCAATGACGGCTCCCGGATGAGGGTGGCAAGAGTGACGGTACTCACGACTCCGACGCCTGCCATCGCCGACGCGTTGGTCGCGACAATGGTGATGGTCGGGCACCGTTGATCTGTGTCGTAGGTGCAGGATGCGATCGAGCTGCCACACGAAGGGCAAACAGCGCCGACTCCCCCGAGCCCCCCGAGGACTAGTAGCGGGATCATGACAAGGCCGTACTGGTAAACGGCGACGGAAAGCGTGCAAAGCAGGCCACCGCGGGCTCGGAGATAGGCGTGGAGGAGGGAGACCGACTCTTCTGAAGGCTCGTCAGCATGAGCACCGCCTCCACGGACTCGGCGGAGCAGGGAATCGATCCGGGTCTCAAGCACGTACGTCTTGATGTACGTGTCCATGAAGTAGCCAACGTGCCGCCCCAGGGAGCGCGTGGCGAGGTAGATGGCGGAGAAGGTGAGGAGCACACCTGCATAAGGGCCCATCGCCGCGTAGTCCCGGAACGGCTCGGCAATCGCCGCCGCCCCGTGGCGGAACAAGGGGTACCCTCCACTGAGGAGGAGGAGGACGCGGACAGGGGTGTAGTCACAGAGTGCGCGAACCTGATAGCCGACACAGTAGACGAAGACGGCCATCCTGAGGAAGAAGAGGAGCTCAGGTCCCCCGTCACCGCTTGTCACCAGCTCAATCAGGGTGGTACCCAGCAGGTAGAGGAGGACTGCCCCAGCCCCGGCACGGTAGACCCGGCTAGTGAGAAGGGCTGCAAGACCGTCATAAGCGAGGCCCACGGCGATCGACCAGAGGAATAACGTGAACTCGATCGTAGTGTAGGCCCAGCCCATCAGAGAATCGAGGCCACTGGCCTCTGCTCCCGCCTGGGATCGCCCATTGCGACCCAGAGCTAAGAGAGACATCGCGAAAACCGCGCCAATAAGTTGCTGCCGATAAGTTCGCCCAACGGCGGCGCGGCGTGCAATAATTGCAAATAGGAAACCGCGCCAGACCGGCGGCGCCGAAGTGGAACGGCGCCTCGCACGGCGGACACCAGCAATATTAATAATTGACTTGAGTCGCCATGGTAGGACGCCGCCCTGAATGATGACGGCAAAGCAACCCGAATAATAATAGCCATTGCTCCCTCAGTGTAAACGACTGTGAATACCGAACTCCCCCATTCACACCTAGTCACCGTGGCCCAACTGGGGTCAAGCCTGCAGTAACTTGCGGTTGTGAACAGGGTCGTTTGGTTATATCCGCATGTTACAATCGCGAGGACGCAATACATGGCACACATTGCGGAATTCGCACTCCCAAAGCTGAGGCAAAACCCAAACTGGAATGCGAAGCCGACGAAGAGCGCGAGCACGAAGGCGGAAGAGATGTGCCTCGGTGACTCGGAAAAAGAAATACAAGCTGGGCGGTCAAGAATCCTGGCGCAGAGCAAGCTGGATGGCAGCTGCCGACGACTCGACGACGCTGCCAATGACGGCTCCCGGATGAGGGTGGCAAGAGTGACGGTACTCACGACTCCGACGCCTGCCATCGCCGACGCGTTGGTCGCGACAATGGTGATGGTCGGGCACCGTTGATCTGTGTCGTAGGTGCAGGATGCGATCGAGCTGCCACACGAAGGGCAAACAGCGCCGACTCCCCCGAGCCCCCCGAGGACTAGTAGCGGGATCATGACAAGGCCGTACTGGTAAACGGCGACGGAAAGCGTGCAAAGCAGGCCACCGCGGGCTCGGAGATAGGCGTGGAGGAGGGAGACCGACTCTTCTGAAGGCTCGTCAGCATGAGCACCGCCTCCACGGACTCGGCGGAGCAGGGAATCGATCCGGGTCTCAAGCACGTACGTCTTGATGTACGTGTCCATGAAGTAGCCAACGTGCCGCCCCAGGGAGCGCGTGGCGAGGTAGATGGCGGAGAAGGTGAGGAGCACACCTGCATAAGGGCCCATCGCCGCGTAGTCCCGGAACGGCTCGGCAATCGCCGCCGCCCCGTGGCGGAACAAGGGGTACCCTCCACTGAGGAGGAGGAGGACGCGGACAGGGGTGTAGTCACAGAGTGCGCGAACCTGATAGCCGACACAGTAGACGAAGACGGCCATCCTGAGGAAGAAGAGGAGCTCAGGTCCCCCGTCACCGCTTGTCACCAGCTCAATCAGGGTGGTACCCAGCAGGTAGAGGAGGACTGCCCCAGCCCCGGCACGGTAGACCCGGCTAGTGAGAAGGGCTGCAAGACCGTCATAAGCGAGGCCCACGGCGATCGACCAGAGGAATAACGTGAACTCGATCGTAGTGTAGGCCCAGCCCATCAGAGAATCGAGGCCACTGGCCTCTGCTCCCGCCTGGGATCGCCCATTGCGACCCAGAGCTAAGAGAGACATCGCGAAAACCGCGCCAATAAGTTGCTGCCGATAAGTTCGCCCAACGGCGGCGCGGCGTGCAATAATTGCAAATAGGAAACCGCGCCAGACCGGCGGCGCCGAAGTGGAACGGCGCCTCGCACGGCGGACACCAGCAATATTAATAATTGACTTGAGTCGCCATGGTAGGACGCCGCCCTGAATGATGACGGCAAAGCAACCCGAATAATAATAGCCATTGCTCCCTCAGTGTAAACGACTGTGAATACCGAACTCCCCCATTCACACCTAGTCACCGTGCCAACCTAAGCTTGCACGGTTTTTCTTGGGCGCGGTGCTTGGCGGGACAATGCCGGTTGCGAGTGATCACGCTTCGCCCTCCATGCTCGAGGTGACCGAGATCATCGCGCGGCGCGCGAGCGCGCACGACGACGTGCTCCGGCAGACCCAGCCCTGGCAGGTGCGCGCCTCCCCCTCTCCACGCCCGTGCGTGCGCCGCCGCCCCGGTGAACCCCGTCTCCCGCCGCAGGACTACATTGACCAAAAGGCGCGCGAGCGCCGGGGCAAGCGCCGCTCGACCGACGTGCGTCGCGCCCCTCCCTCCGCCGCCCGACACCAGCCCAAGCGTGGCGGCGCCTGACTTCACCACCGCCGCCGGGTGCCGCCACAGGCGCTGGCCGAAAACGTGCGGCTCCGCGCAGAGAGCTCCCCGCACCGGGCCCGCACGGCGGCGGCCACTGCAGCCACGTGGCCGACGGCATCGGAGCCGG